TGTTATATTTTTTTTTTTAAGATAACGACTATTTTGAAAACTGCTATATGTGTATATATATTTATTCTACTGTTTTATCTTTCATGGTGTGTAGCTTTTTTATTACTTTTTTTTTTTTAACATTGCATTTGCCATTTCAATTAAACTGCAGGATGTTTTTCCTAATGAGATTTATTTCCTTTTTCTTACTTTTCCCTCTTTTTTTGGAAATAAAAACGTCTAGCAGGGGCTTTAGGCAGAGCACACCCTTGCTGCCTGCGCCCCACTGACCCCCAGAGGGGAGCTGTAGGCCTGCGTGGGAGCTGGCAGAGCCAGCAGGACGTGGCTTCCGCTCGTAAACTTACTTGTCAGGGGGAATGTGGAGCTTTGGGATCAAGTAACCGCCCCTCACAAAGCTGTAAGATTCCATATGTTTGTAAGAGTAATGCTCTTCTAATGCACCACAGCTCAAACTGAACCAAAACGGGCTGTCCTTTCAGTAAAGAAGCCGTTGAAGATGCCTCTTGGGTGAATGGGTACAGTGCATATCTGCAGGTTTCTGCCTACCTCTGTTCTGGTTTTTGTAAACTCCCTTTCCTCCCCCCCCCCCATTTTTATGGAAAGCTCTTCCTCGCTTAGGTACGTGAAAAGCCCATAAGCAGAGAGATCGTAGGTTTCGCCATCTCCTCTGCCTTCCACGAAGCACAAGGATCTGCAGAATGTGCTTGGCCCCTCTCACCTTTCCGTACAGTGAAGTGTTGCAAGTGGGAGGTGGGGAATAGAAACGTGATGTGTGGCTTCTACTAAGTTTTTAAAAATTGCTCTGTTTCTCAACTTTCAAGAATTAATGGGGAAACAGGGGGGGCGGAGGGGGAAGAGAAGTTTTCCTTTACTGTATATCCGCACGTGTGCATGAAGGTACAACGGGACTTTGAAAGCAGCCAACACCTGGGGGGTGATGAAATTCTGAGACAACCTGGCTTAGAGCAATGGAGAGGAGCCCGGAAGCCAGGGAGAGGCGAGAAAAGGATGGAATCGGTGTGAGACGGGAGATCGATACTGAAAAATTCTCTCCCGCCTCAGTTTTCTTACCTGTAAAGCAGGCGCAGGTACCTCTGCCACCTCCCCGGCCCTGGTGGGGACGCGCCGGCCGTAGCGCTGCGGAGGTGTGGAAACTTACACAGTAAAGGCTAGGTGAAGCAGCCAGCATACATTTTAAATCTTATTTCCTACCACCTAAATGTGATAAAAATAATAACCCGAGGAAAAAAAAAAATAATTATTATAAAAAGATCAGTTTTGAGAAATAAAGAAGATTGGAACACCTGAAAAACTTAGTTTAGATCAAAGTCAAACTGGTTTCGTTTCACCAGCCTCAACGCTGGCACGCTGCCAGTACTGAGTCCTGGCCCTCATTTTGAAAATGCACCACAATGCCCGTAACAATGAAGATAGTTAAGAAACAGCGCATGTCAAATACTTCAAATTCTGGATGGTTCAAGCTGGCGGAACGTACTCTGTACAGAACCGCGGAAGGGCAGGCTGTGACGGAACGTTCCCGTTTGAACTGAAACACAGGAATAAATGAAACTGAAGGCCAGCGCGAGAGCAGCACTGCTGAAATGCCGGCTGTGATCGGAGCTTTAGGGAGCTTTTACGTTTTTACAAGTGACAAATTAGGGGAAATACAGAACAAAAGAGAAGAAAGCGCATCCTGTAAGATCTTAACATAAGTTGAAAATAAGTGACATAGCGAAAAGCATCTCTAAGAGAAGACACGTTGGGGGTGAGGAAAAGGCGGACTATATGTAGTCTCCATGAAGCGTAGCTCAGGAACCTGATCATGGCTACAGCCTCAAGGCAGGATGTCCAAGAACTTTTATCTCCGGAGGTACAAAATATAATAAATGGATAAAATTTAATTTTGGTCAAGGATGTGTAGCTAAGAAATGGGGAAAGGTAGTGGGTATTACACCAGAGACAGGTTCCTTAAGGTGAGGCGATTAACATTTAGATTACCGAGCTGTGCAGTCACAGAGCAGCGTGTGCAACTGCCTTCATTATGACATATTTGCTGAAAATAGGAGCTATGTTGGAAAAGACCTTTAAGATCATCAAGTCCAACCGTTAACCTAACCCTGCCATCCCACCACTAAACCATGTCCCTAAGCACCTCATCTGCCCGTCTTTTAAATACCTCCAGGGATGGGGACTCGACCACTTCCCTGGGCAGCCCGTTCCAATGCTTGACAACCCTTGCAGTGAAGAAATGTTTCCTAAGATCTAATCCAAACCTCCCCGGCCCAATTTGAGGCCATTTCCCCTCATCCTATCACCCATTACCTGGAAGAAGCAATCAACACCCACCTGGCTACAGCCTCCTTTCAGGCAGTTGTAGAAGGCGATCAGGTCTCCCCTCAGCCTCTTCTCCAGGCTGAACAACCCCAGTTCCCTCAGCTGCTCCTCATCAGGCTTGTGCTCCAGACCCCTCACCAGCTTTGTTGCCCTCCTCTGGACACGCTCCAGCCCCTCAATGTCCTTCTTTCAGTGAGGGGCCCAAAACTGAACACAGTATTCGAGGTGTGGCCTCACCAGCGCAGAAAGGATACCTTCCCTATCCCTGCTGGCCACACTATTCCTGATACAAGCCAGGATGCTGTTGGCCACCTTGGCCACCTGGGCACACTGCTGGCTCCTATTCAGACAGCTGTCGACCAGCACCCCCAGATCCCTCTCTGCCAAGCAGCTCTCCAGCCACTCATCCCCAAGCCTGTAGCGTTGCATGGGGTTGTTGTGACCCAAGTGCAGGACGTGGCCCTTGGCCTTGTTGAACCTCATACAGTTGACTTCAGCCCATCGACCCAGCCTGTCCAGATCCCTCTGCAGAGCCTCCCTACCCTCAGATTAGCAGAAAGAAATAGTTACCAAGCTTTCCCATTCTTGTGTTTTACTAAAACTATACACATCCAATTTACCATTAACCAAGCGTGCATGAGCCAGAAGCAAGAGAACTCTTTTTCAGAAGCCAAACCCACTGTTTCTGCATCATTTGATTTCCTGGAAGAGGGTTACGCATCTTATGCGCCAATACTTGTTTTAAATTGTACCACCTAGCTTCAATGCCAAAAGCAGGCAATTTGCCTTTAAATAATGCAAATTAATGTAAATTGTGTTGGCTGTAGTGTTGCTGGTCAAAAAATCTTGAACAGGCAATGCAAATGCGTAGATAAAAATGGAACAGGCAGGAGCAGTCAGAGCAGCGACTCGGCTCCCAGTGCTTGCGGCATCAGCCCTGCAGAGCGACACAAGCAGAACCGAGAAAGACGACAGATAAGAGGGCTGTCACAAAGCTCTTGGAAGCCACTAAATGATAGCGGGGCTTAAAGCCTTTCAAGGGACGTCTTTTAAGCAAATCATTGCTGATTCATGAAAGTATATTTGCATAAGCGGAGCTTTTAAAAAAAATCATTGCTGAAGTTAGTTACATACTTGAACAATTCAGACAGTTTTCTGGGCAACAGCTAAAGCTATTTGGCTTTAGGTATTTACATACTTACAGACATGCGTTCTCTCACACTACACGGAGGGGAGAAAGTTCCATGCTTCACTACTTATTGTATGGTATTGTAAATTTTAAAAGGGAGAGTCTCAGAATTCGAAGGTGGCAAAGTATTTCAAAAGTTACATACTTGAACAATTCAGACAGTTTTCTGGGCAACAGCTAAAGCTATTTGGCTTTAGGTATTTACATACTTACAGACATGCGTTCTCTCACACTACACGGAGGGGAGAAAGTTCCATGCTTCACTACTTATTGTATGGTATTGTAAATTTTAAAAGGGAGAGTCTCAGAATTCGAAGGTGGCAAAGTATTTCAGCAGCTGGGACACTTTCTAACTTTCCTTACTGTTGCTGGAGAAGTCTGGTGAAACCACAGTCCTACTGAAGTCAAACTTCTGTCAACTTTGAGCCAGGATTCGAAATTCACGTACTTTAACCAAACAAGATGTTCTTACCAAAATCCCTAGGCCTAGACATGCTCACACAGTTCAAGGATCAGTAGCTCACTGAGTATTTTCAGATACTGCACATTTACTGATAAAGTGACTCGGCTGAATTCTTTGTATAGCTCCTCTCCCCTTGTGTGTGATGTTACACAAGCAACTGAAGGCACTGTCACAGCAGAAAGCCTGTAAAAAAAAAAAAGAAAAACAAAAAAACACAAAACCACATTTGGATAAGTTAAATTAAATTGAACCCCAGATATTTGGAGTAATTGAAACTAATTATGGGATCATTTCTTTTACTGCTTCATAGTGCCATAAGATACCAAATGGCTCCTTCCCACACCACTCATTCTCCCCAAGACATCAGATTTCACAGGGTTTATTACACAGAGCCCATCCTGCCCCCAGCTTGCTGGCTGCTGAGAAACTCTCCTTGTCAAGATCAGCCCTGCTCCAGCGCAGCGCAGGGGCTCTGTGGCGCTTCTCACCACGACCTGCTGGCCTGCAGTAGGCGGAAAGAACATGTTCGGTAGGCAATTAAATCATCAGGACTACTTAGTCCGAGTAAGTGGCAAAACCAATCCTCTACGTAATGCATTGATTCTGAAGCACCACGTGCTTTCCAAATTAAACAGCCATTTGGTGTTGCAACCTCTTTGCTTCCTTAATGACTAATTTCCAGAACTAAATAATCCACAGGACGTTTCTGAGTTACTGGAGCAAACTAATTGGCATTACTTCTTACCGCTCATGCTCTTGCTAACTGGCAAATAAAAGGCAGAGATAGGCTCCTTGTAACTTTAAAAAAAAAAAACTATTGCTGAACCACAAGTCAACATTTTGTACAGTCTATCCATCTGATACAGCTTACTTTGAAATAACCCAAGCAATCAAACAAGCAAGGAGAAAGTTTGTTCCAAGGTCAATGGTTTTTATTATTTCAAACTCAGACAAATATATTTCTGAAGAACACCAACACAATTATTTTCACAAGCATATTAAAAATATCTGCCTTGCGTGAAAGGTTGTAATACTAAAATTCATGCTATTCCGATCTCAATAGCATAATGGCAAATTAAAGACAGTTTCAGCTGTATAAATCACTACACTATAGTGGACAGTAAATAGTATTTCCTTTTTTTAGGGCAAACAATCCAGTGGCAATGAATTTACCACAAGTACAGGTATTGTGGGTACAGCTACACCTAGCTTTGAAACGCCGTAGTGGATCATCTTCAGCCTCTCCTGTTGTCATTAAACTTCTCAGCTATTTTCTGCAGCTCCAAATCCATAGCGGCCAGGTTTTCCAGTTCTTTTTCCTGTGAAAACATAAAGAGCATTTTACACATCAAATAAAGTTGGCAAATGTTTTGTTCCATGAAAGTGAGAGACAAAGAACGTTTCTGAGGCAGACATCTGGTCCCTGGGCAGCTTGCTGGGGTGGGGGTGTTAACAGCAGTGCAAGCACGTACCTTGGAGATTGGTGCAATTTCCTGCTTTTAACTGAATTAGGGCTGGGGAAATCATCAAAATACTTGTTCTGAGAGCGGGCCCTAACTACAGCTTGATCTTTTCAGCTTTCAAGGACCATTATCTAGTAGTGACCTCCAGCTACCTCACAGCTGCCGCCCCCTGCGGCATGCGGTCACTTCTGCCCAGGTCCCTTAGGAGGCTCCAACCTTACGATCACAGTGGTTCTGGCTTACGACACACAGCAAGCACAGAGTGCAGCAAGAGGAACACCTCCACGTTACCAGATGCTAGGGGGAAAAAAAAAAAAAAAAACCAAACCCCACAAACTTATGCAGCCAATTCTTGTTTATTACAACGACTTGTTAACGCCATTTAACCTCTATATAAATTAGTACTAAACCTCCACTGGTCCCAGCTCAGTTCTGTGCAACAGACACAGTGACACAGATGAGGAGCATCTCGCTGATAGGTATAGACTCAGTTTTCCTGGACACCAAAGCAGAACGGGAAGTCCTACGTGACAAGGATTCACATCCATGGGAACTACATGCACGCATTGGGCTTACAAGCGCAAGCCAGGTTCTGCTCTGCCGTTACAGCCGGGAAGTCAATGGACAGCCGAATTTCACTAAGTGTCCAACTTGCTTTTCAGATGTACATTTTAAAGAACCTGACAGACCAAGCGGTGCTTGCTAATTACCTCTTTGCTCCTTCTGCAACAGGCATCTTTAGTTTATTAGTCGGTAAGACCCTAGAGGGAAAGGTAGGACCCAAGGAGGAAGAAAACCTTTCTCTTCCTGTCTTGCAGCAGACGGAAGCTAATGAGGATGCACACTGTCTTTGTTTTACTAACTGTGCCCTGGGGTAGTTCCACTGAATTCATTCAAAGAAAGCAGATTTTTAAATCACCAAAGATCTGGCTCTCAATGAGACTCAATCCTGTTTGTGTTTTTCCACACATGGTTTACCAGCTGCCTTGGGAGTGGATTTAGAAATGTGCACGTAAAGTCAGCTTCCCCTAGCTTTTCAGAGAAACACCCATACACATACCTCCTCTTCTGTCAGAGGCCTCTGGCTCAGGGTTCCTCTGTCATTCCTGATTACGTGACCTTTTTTCATGTCTTCTCCAGAACTGTACAACTCTGGGAATTCGGCTGATTTTTTCCTGTAATTCAGAAGTTGTGCAAGTTGATCCATCTTGTTGTATTGCCTTTTCAAATCGTACCTCTTCATTTTGCTAAGGTTCCTCTTCTCGGTACGTCCGTGGTTCAGAGCACTTAGGATTTGCTTTTTCTCCCACCAGTCATAGTCATTATATTCAGGGAAAAGACTCTTCTCCTTCAGGGTGGGTCTGCCTTCCTCTTTGTCATCCAGAAGCTGTTCTCCTGCGCTGTCCCTTTTCTCAAAGTGACGGCTTTTCCACCACAGCAGTGGGTAGAAAGGGCTGTAGGATGCCGTAGTTCTCTTCTCATTCTCTCCAGGGAGGCGGCTTCTGTACTCTGCCCTCTCTGCATATCTTCCCTCCTCCATGTTCTCCTCTTCATTTTCCATCTGATCACTGCTGTGATGCTGCTTTTCTACTTCCTCCTCCTCCTCACTGTTGCCAGGGTAGCGCTGCTGCTCTACACTGTCCTCAGTGCTGTAGTGTCTTCTGGCCTGCCCTTTGCGCTCTCGAGCGTATGCTTTCTGTGACCCTTCATCTTCATTGTCCCACAAGTGGTATCTCTCTCCAGCATGAAGCTGCTTCTCCTTGCTGCCACCGCTGAGATACCTGTCCAGCTCTTCCTCATTTTCATCTCCAAGATACATCCTTCCCTCAGAATGGTGCCTCCTCGCCTCATGTGATCCATCATGGTGCCTCCTCTCCTCATGCCATTTCTCATTACTTTCTTCACTGTGATGATGCCTCTTGTTTTCCTCTTCACTGCTCTCTTCACTCTGCTGCCACCTTTCTCTGTGCTCCTCACTTCCCTGGTCTGCATGCCTCTTCTCCTCCACCTCTTCAGACCCATGCCTCCCATGAGAACCACTCTTCTCCTCATGCTGCTGCTCAGACTCTCCATGATGTTTCTGACGGTGGTTCCTTTTGTCCCAGAGATGGGCCTCCTCTGTGTTTGATTCCTCAGTTAGTTCTTCTTTCTCACCACCACGGCCCCTCTTCTCTTCAGAGGCGTCACCCATTCTGTGCTTCCCATAACGTGTGGGTTTGTAGGGTTGCTTTTCCTCCTCTGTTTCTTCACTCTCATCAGATTCTTCATGCTCTTGCATATGGGAGAAATCACGTTCCTTAGACTCATGGTGGTATTTTTCACTTTTTGTTTCCTCTGCCTCTCCCTCTTCACCTTCCTGAATCCTTTTGTAAGGGCTCTGCACTCCCTCCTCCGAATGCCAGTGGCCCATGGGACGCTGATCGTTCCCATCAGGGAACTCCGCTGTGCTTGTGCCTCCGGAGTGGGACTTCTTGTCGAGAACAGCATGCTCTACCTCTTCATCATGATGCTTGCTCTCTTTGCTTTCTTCTTCACTGTGGTAGCTCTTCTCCTCCTCTTGTCTAGTTTCCTGATAGTGTTTCTTTTCTTCTGTATGAAGTCTCTCTTCCTGAATAGGGGTGTGGTGTCCATCCTCCTCTTCCTTGCTTTTACCTTCCTCATGAACAAGTTTCTCCTCATCACTTCCTTTCATGTACTTTTTAGACTCCTCTTCTGCCTGACTCTGTTCTTTCTCCACACTCCCAGTATGATGTTTTTCAATCTCTGCTGGGTCTTTCAAATGCCTCACTTCAAGTTGTTTGTTTTCGCTTCTCTCTCTGTCATTTCTACCACCTACAACAACAGAAGCAGCATAATCAAGTAATCCAACTCTCCACTGAAGGTTATTTCAGTTAAAATAGATAACTGGCTTCCCAAAGTAGCAAGAAGATTTGGACAGAATTTTTTTTTTAAAAAAAAAAAACAAACCTTAATATTTTATATATTTCCCTGGAAAAGCATTAACTAATTTTCATTTAATTAGGCACTTTAAAAGTTCCACCGAAATTTCCAGAATAATTTTTCTTCTTTGGATCTTTTCTTTGTTTGTGATCACATTTTTAGTATTGAATTAATTTAACTCTCACTCCATTCCCATTAAAAATCAATGGGATCTAGAGTTGTGTTCAGTTCTTTGAATGTCAGGCAACCATCTATTTGATCAAAAATATCTGGGGCTTTTAGCAAATTTTAAAAGTTCTAAACTGATTGGGGGGGAAAAAAAAAAAAAAAAGAAAGCAATGTTACTTTGCAATAGTTATGTTTAATCAAATCATGCTCCTTCCACTATTTCCAAAATGCTAGATGAAAGTCTGGCTCTGACCACAATGGTAACAGTAGATTTCTATGAAGATATTTCTGCTTCACTTGTGTCTGAGTAACATCGGAAATAGATCACAAATCCTAAAACTTTTCAGACAATAGCTGCACAGATTTAAAAATAGCTCATGATTTCTGAAAAGCTTCTCATTGTCTGATATTCTTGGAGGAGATCTGTCTAATGGCAAAAATACGGTCCTTGCTCTCTCTTTCCAGTAAGCAGTTTTTCATATTCCAAACTATGGCAAATATACATTTTTCTTTTCCTGAAACTGACAATGTCATAAACAAAGCTTGACAACTGATGGCATTCAGCATCTCCTAGAAATTTGGGGGAGAGTTAGATACACATACGTGTATTCCCTAAGCCCACCCTCTTCTGATGACTCCATTGGGGCCATGCATTATTCCCTCTATGAACAAGCATGAGACAGATGGGTTTCATTATTGCTTCTTGCTGGCAGGTTAAGTTCAAGAGCCTTTTTATTGTTCTCTAATCAAATAAATATAACTGGGCAGAAAAGAAAGATGTGCGTTCTGCAGTTTGGCACAGCGTCAAACTTAACCGCACTTCACTATGGACAGCAATCAAGCGTGTAAGCAGGCTTACACCTCAACGTGGAGGCAGCCAAGCACCACACTGTAGGAATGAGCTCATCCAAAATGAGCACTCCCACAGGGGACTTTCAGCACACATCTCCAGACCTCCGGAATCAGTACCACAAACTTAATCGTTTCTGGGCTGAGCGAAAGACTCCCCTCTCCTGAGCTGGGTGTGGATCCAGGTGGCACCAGGAGCCTTGCTGATTCAATTGGCTGTTATTTGAAGGCAGTTCCTACCCTCCGGGATGCATTCAGCATGTGGTCCAAACCCAGTCACATTTGTTGACCTCTCAGGCTACCAAAAGAGCTTAAGTAGAGTCACATGTCTTAGCCAAGGATCCCTGACAGTTACCAGGTCAGGCTGATTGCTCTTTGAGCAAGACAGACTAAACAGAAGGGAATCAAATTTTGACACTGAAACTTGGAGGCACCAGTTTCACACAGGATGAAATAACAGTTCACCAGCTCCAACACAAGAGAGAATCCATCTACCAAATACCCTTCCCAAGTTTGGATAAGGTTGTACTTACTCTTCTTCAGGATTTCTTTGCATTCAGGATTAATTGGTGGTGCATTTGGCTTAGATAGAGCGTTGGACAGAACTTCCACTATGCACCGTGTTACCTAGAAGAAACAAAACAGGAGAAAAAATTCTCATGGCAAAAACGAAAATCCTACTTCTGACCCAGTTAGTGAGGACAGCTAATTTAGGATTAGAGTTCAGGCTAATTTTTATGAGTTTTGCTTAATCTCCAGCTCTACCACAATTTCTTGTGCATTTGGGCAAGTGCTTTGCTCCTCGCTCCCATCCCAGTTAAGAGAGGACAGTCATAGCTTTTTTTATCTCCCCTTTTGTTTGCATAGGTAACAGGCTCCTTTTGTGCCTTTTTTAATATTAAGTACCCTATTCAGTACAAAGGAGAGTCAAACAACAGGTGGCAACAGCACCCTACAAAAAAATAACCAACAACACACATTCAAAAGATGAGGATCATCCTGTAGGATCTGTCCAAATGAGGATGCTGCAAATGTGTTACCAGAAGTATTGCTTGGATTAACAATAAGCCAAAACCACCTTTACGTCCTCTATAAGTGACATGCTCCACATTTGTGTGTGTGTGGTGTAAGCCCTGCCTCTTTTAGCACTTCACAATGCAACTGGATAGTCTTCTGGAAGCAGAGGAAATTGACTCCTTGAGGAAAGTCACACAATATCCTCTAATCCTAAGAGCTACCAAAGTAGCTCTTCTGTACAAACTCACGCAAAATGATTTTCAAGTCTTGAAGTTGTTGGTTGTGAGCAAGCACTCAGATCATCAGGGGTATGAGAGTCTCAGGCTGACAACCTGGGTGGCTGGATGGGAGGAGACACTAAAGCATTTATATAGCCGATTGTCTTTTAACTGTTTTTAGTTATTACCAGGTGTTTACTCATCTAAAAGATCACACTACCAACAAGCGGAGAGGGTCTGATGGCAGGTGAACAGTGCCTGATATCAGGTTACAGGCACGGAGAGCAGCTAATGGTACTTCTTTGATCAAACAGGTTAAGAATCTCTTTCCAAAGCAGGAGGTGGGAGGGCTGCGTTAGAACGTCCGTTACATAGCTGGTAACTGTAGATATTTCATCTATCTTCAAAGGTGCCATCTCACTTTTTACATTCCAATAACACATACTATCAAATAATATTTCAGATCATTTTTCGGCAGCTATACAATGTAGAGTTTCAAGAGTATCACACTGACACAAGACGCCAGCTTCCATTCTCATCAAATGCACTGAAGTGCATGCAGGTATCTTCTGAGAGGTAAAGGGACTCCAAGTTCCACATTGCCAATGATCTCTTAAGAGATCCCCTCAGGGGAAAAAAAAAACATTAGCCTGAGAGTTTAAAGACAAAGCATGGAGAGCATGTGACTGATATTTTCTGAAATTTGCTTTGACATACAGCTACTCACCATTTCTTCAATATGGTCTTTTTCCACTGGAACTGCACTGACACCTAGAAGAAAAACAAATTATTACAGACTCATTAACTCTAGCAACAAGCATTACTGACAGGAGTCCTCAGTCAAATTGGTCGGATGAGATGGCTTGAGTTTTGGGTTGGCCGATCAGGAAACCAGACACATTTTGCATTTCATCTTTTCTTATTCACGATGGAAAAGCAATGTAAAGTTGCAGCCTAGCATGAGAGAAGAGGCACGTTGACATTTCTAGCACAAAAAGAATATACACCAAAAAATAGAAACCAACGCTTAAATTCCAGGACCAGAACTTTACTGCAAGTCAAGTCTTCATGCAGTTGTACCTGTTTGGTGGTAAAAAAATAGGAAACAAGCAAGACCTGTTTGCACCCCAAGAGCCTTTTGGCTTCTGCAAGGGGCTCTGGGTGCCCCCGCCCCCCGCCCCCCACCTCCCCAGTAGGAGACCATTCTTCAAGGTTTTAAAGCAACTACTGTCCCAATCCTACTGGAGAAACCCTGTCTCACTTGGATAGGAGCAGGCTCCTGGAGGGAAGGACAGAGCCAGAAGGGACAAGAAAATTTCCATTCACTGAGTGGTCCACTATCACCCCAAGAAACAAGCAAAAAAAAAAAAAAATCCCAGTGGAAAACACTACCCAGGAAGGAAGTGGCACAACCTGTCTCCTTCTCTGTCCTGAGGACACATGGGGTAATTAACACCTCCTCGAACCAGTTCTGGTGTACCTGTTCCAAGGTATTTGCTTTTGGAAAGAAGCTGCTGCAAATGAAACCTCCATGCTGCTTTATTTTGCCATCACCACTGCAATATGTCTCCAGCTGGGTAACGAGCTTGGCTGCTGTGCATTATTAATAAACTGTGTCAATTCTCATCCACCTTGAGATTTGCAGAAGTGGAGTTAAGCAAGTCTGCCAGCCACACGAGTACGTAGAAGCAAGGCTTATTGTATCATGGCTTACACAGACTTTCCCACGTGGTATATAATCACAGTACACAAATGTACAGCTTGGGGTGTGGTTCTGAAGTTCTTATATGAGTCAGAATAGTCTTGAATACGTCTATCACCCTCTCTGCAGTACTGCTTGGTTGGGAGAGTGAGAGATCTTCTGCAGCACATGAACACAAAGCAGATTGTGGAGACGAAGCGGGTCAGTTTACCTTACAGCATCAGGAAAACCAACTTCCCCAAGGAAGTTTCCTGCCAAGCAGATAGGTGCGCATAGCCTTGCGCTATTGAAAGCGGCAAAACCTTTCTTCTTTTCTGTGTCTGCAGAGGAAGCAGGCATCCCCTTGAGCGCTGACTCCGTGTGTAATAACTGAACACAACGCAGTAACAACTGTCTTTGTATTTCTACTGTCCTCTATTTTTGCTCCCCCAAACACGTATGTAGGAATGTGCTTCTTCAGCCCCCGTCTCTTCTCAGCGTATACAACTGCGATCGGAGAAGGGAACCCACGCAAGGATAGCACAGAAGGGATCCCCCTAAAATAGCAGCACTCCCTCCCTATCCCATCATTTCCCCAGAAAGCCAGGTGGTGTATGGGGGAGATGGTGCTATACAGAGCCAACCCTCTCCCTCATCTCTTGCGTTCAGTGCTGACAGAGCCAGGCTTTAGGTTATTTTATTTACTAACCTAGTATGCAAATAACTACCACACTGCACAGTGCTGATGCTGCTGCAGTCTAACCCGCCTGCATCCTCCATCTGAGCACGGAGGGTAAGGATGTATGTACACGCGGGGGCAGGAGACTGGCAGCAAAGTCCCTTCTACTAAAAAAAGTGTTATCCACAAAAAGGCCAGTCTCCCAATCCCACAGGGGTTGGAGACAGTGCTAATATGGCACGAGCTGCTCACAGTCACCACCTACATGTAAGCAGAGGGGATGGCCTGCTTCATTATCTCTTCTCAACAAGGCTCCTCTGGTCCTCCAGCCCATGAGAAATCATGACATGCACAAGGGCAAACATCGGATTTTGTCCCTTTAGCGATGCTGCCACAGCACATCTCCTGTGAGTTACACCCAGGCGATGCGATAAAGCACAGAACAAACTTCTGAACATCTTTTGCTATTAGAGACGACAACTTCGGGCTGCCTCTCGAGCGCTGTGCGGGAATATAAAGTCAGGTTGTACTTGTTGCCTTTGCCCTGTCATTCCAAAGCTGCCGCTTCTCCAAGGAGGTTTACAGATAGATTAATGACCATTAAGCAAGTGCTTGGTTAATGATGAAAGCTGACATGCACAAAGAGAAAGCATTAGGCTATCATAACAATGTCAAATGAAGCAAATGGACTTGGACATATGTCACATTAACCTGCCCCGAGGAACAAAACGAGTATCCAATCCATCCCAGAGCCTGAAATAATACATTGAGGCAACTGCTCTGCCAGAGCTGAGATAGGAAGCCCATGGGGAGCCAGCACGCCCCACTTTACACGAGTGCTGGCAGCACCAGCCCACGCCAGCTGGCAAGAGCTCCCTCAGGGCTACCTGCCAGCTGGAGATAGCTGGCCAACACCTCTGCCTTCCCCTCCGCATGTGCTCAGGAGGGGTGAAGCCATCACCCGGGCACCGCTGACACTGTTGGGCGGCAGGGCACCCACCCACCGGGCTTGCGTGGACACAGCAGACGGTACAACTGCAGGGTTTCACAGCAGAAACAAAGTCAGAACACAACCCCGAGATGGAAATCCTTCCCCTGCCTGTGCAGAAAACCAGACCACAGACCCACAAAGTAAAGCAAAGCCCTGAGCCTGCTTCCCCCTCCTGAACCAAATCTGCCCAAGCAGTTATGATCAGATTATTTGATTTTTCAGAAGTGCTGAGAGCTGATGAAGATCATGAAAAAGGATGAGAAACGCATGACAAATTCACGCAGCTTTTGCTTGCATCTCCAAGATTGGGACAGATCTTTTGGTGGGTCCCTGACGAAATCCCCACATGGCTGTTCCATTAGAGCCGATGACTCAGTGCAGTGCCATTGCTCATCAAAATGTCAGCAAATACCCTTCCCAGGAAAGATCATGGAAACTTTGGCATATTGATTTGCAGAAGGAGCACTAGAAAGTTCTTGAAGATAATTTTTCACCGATTCCCAGCCCCAAACAAACTCCTTAGTTCATTAACTCTGGCTGACATTTGAAAGCAAGATAGCCAAAAAGGACATAAAGAGATACCCGACCTGTTTGATGGCATAAACAGGAAAATATATTTGGTAAGAAATCCCCATGGAGTCTGTGGAATAAGTCTGGTGAGCTTCTCTGGGTTTAGGTCTCTCCCCCCATCTTCCACCCTCCCCTTTAGCTACAATAAAGGCACTTGAAGCTAGTCAACTTCATTATAGAGCTCCTGTGCAAGCTCCAGAAGCATTTCTGTGTGGAGATCTCTAATAAGCCTAAAGCTGAATTACTCAACCCAGAATGACACCGATTCTTTCAAGAAATGATGTAGTATGCATAAAAAGCTATGAAGCCAAGCGATCACCTCACCCTATTGTGTTTAATCTTAATTTCATGGTGGTTTTAATATTTAATACTGCATGCCTACAAAATTTTCTGTTAGTTAAAGCTGCAGACCTGTGACTTTACAGTCATCTCCCAGTATGAAGAACTAGCTGGCAGAAACCTAGCAGCACCGCTCGAACAGAATTATGCCAAGAAGTCTTTGTGGAAAGAAACTGTACCGGGGGAGAAAAATAAATTGACAGCGGCCGACTCTCCCGGGCACAGCGTGAGGGAGAAGG